CCAGCTACTTGGGAGGCTGAGGCAAGAGAATCACTTAAGCCAGGAGTTTGAGGTTGCTTTGAGCTGTGATGCCACAGCACTGTACCCAGGGCAGTAGCTTGAGGCTCTGTCTCAAAAAAAAAAATTCACTTGTTGAGCGGCGCCTGTGGCTCAGTGAGTAGGGTTCCAGCCCCATACACCAAGGGTGGTGGGTTGGAACCTGGCTCGGCCAAACTGCAACAAAAAAATAGGTGTTGTGGTGGGTGCCTGTAGTCCCAACTACTCAGGAGGCTGAAGCAAGACAATCACCTAAGCCCAAGAGCTGGAGGTTGCTGTGAGTTGTGACATCTTGGCTCTCTACCGAGGGTGACAAAGTGAGACTCTGTCTCTAAAAAAAAAAAAATTGTTAAATTAGTAATCTGTCAGATTTATAAGATTCTTCTAAACACTGAACATAACCAGGAAATCAAAACATTTTAGTTTGATAAGTAAAAATTTCCATAATATTTAAGCATTGATTACAAAACTTGTTTTTAAAATGTACTAATTTTAAAATTATAAAGTTTGTCTTAAAAAGCAAAATATGCACAAATTTTCACAATAGTAACCAGTTTATAGTGACAAATTGCTCATAAAATGTAGTTACTATAGCTTGAAATTAATGTTTTCATTATCCTGTATGTATTATAATAATACATACATGATAATGTTTTCATTATCATGTATGTATTATACATACATCTTTCTATACAATAGTATTGAGGCAAGAAAGTAAAAGCAGAGCTAAAAGGATCTGTCTTAGCCGCCCTGTGTAGGCCTCAGCCTAGCCATAGGCATTTCTGTTCTCTATGTTCTGTTCCTCCTTTGACATGCTGGGGCCTAGCTTGTAACCTAGTAACTTCCTTGGACTTCCGTTGCCTTTGAGGGCAGGTGGTCCAACCGGTCTTAAGGGTGTGGGCCAATTTGACCTTCCCCTTGAGCCTGGGACCTCGAGGATGATGTCATGTCTTTCTCTGTTTTATGACCCTCACATGCATTCTCGCCCTAAAAAATGGACAAAAGAGAGCCAAGAGATTGAGTCAGGGGGCTCGGTTTTGGAGACACAGGTCTTCCGAGTTAAGTTACCCCCGGCCAGAATAAACCCACTTCCTCTAATCAACTAGTGCCTGGAATCTTCTGTCTGTGTCAGTTTCCTGCTACAGTATAATTTACCACATGCTTATTTTTTAAACCTTCTTGACAAGTACAGCAGGTCTATGCAGGTTGTACCAAGGTATAGGTTGGTTGCAGTAGCTCACACCTGTAATCCTAGTGCTCTGGGAGAATGAGGTGGGAGGTTCCCTTGAGCTCAGGAATTCCAGACTAGCCTGGGCAAGAGCAAGATCCCATCTATACTAAAAGAAAAATTAGCCAGGTGTTGTGGCAGGCATCTGTAGCCCCAGCTATTTGGGAGGCTGAGGCAAGAGGATCACTTAAGCCTAAGAGTTTGAGGTTGCTGTGAACTATGAGGCCACGGCACTCTAGCCTGGGCTACACCTCAATCAAAAAAAAAATCAAAAAAGAGAAGGGGAAGCTGAAATGTAGCACTCACTATGCTCTTGAAACTGATCTTCCCAGGGCTAGGACCACCTGAGTGTTGCTATGGTCTGAATGTTTGTGTGCTTTTAGAATTCAAACCTAATCACCAGTGGTTTAATATGAGCAAGAGGAGCCTTTTGGGAGGTCAAAGGCTGGAGCCCTCATGAATAGGATGAGAGGCCATAGACAAACCTCTCACACTAAGTGAAGATGATAACCAGGATTTCATCTTCAGTAGGTTCTTGGTCTTGGTAATTCAAGAATGAATCTGTGGACCACAAATCAGTGGTAAGATGGGATTTATTCACAGAAAAGAATACAAAAACACCAAAGCTTCCTGCAGGGAGAAAACCCAAGTTGGGAAAGAAAAACTCTGTGTTTCTGTCTCTGGGCTCTTTGTCTAGGGGTATATATGGTTGCATGAGGACCTCTGTAGTTACATTTAGCGGGGCTTGGTAGTTACATTTAGCCTGTCTGGGACCCTCTGTAGTTACCTGACTGAGTGGTGAATGAATGGCTACAAACCCTTTCATTTCCAGGCTTAAGAACCTTACATGAAATTGACCAGGCCTAGGAAATGGGGGGTTTCCTGTTGAGTGGCAAGTGTAAGGGGAGGGAAACCTACGGTGCTGGTGTCTCCCCCAAAGTTGTCTGGTCCCTCCGGCTATTGGAGCCTCCTGGGAGTGGTGGGGAGTCCAGCACCTACCCTCCAGCCCACTGGTTCCTCTGCCTGCTGCCACTGCACCAACATCACCAAGGCGGAGCAGCCAGTCCACCCTCTCCCCAGCTCCACTGAGCTGGCTGGGACGCCATGTGTCCTATATCAACTCTCCCTCTCTAAGTAGAAACTCTAACT